CGATTGCTTGAGCCATACGCAAACATGGGCAAATGCACTACAAACTAAGGTCGAGAGTCGTGTGTTCAGATGCATTGATGAATAATATTATGAACGCCTCTATAAACTACATGGACTTGCGGAACTTTCAAGAGAGGATACACCGCGTGCAGCAGCATCCTTATTGGTATTGATGGTACTGCGGCTGCTGCTGGTGCTGCTGTGGCTGGTACTGCTGCTTGGCCTGGCCATAATCCTGCTGGGCCTTGTGGCCGCCGGCACGCAGCAGCTGTGTTGCTGGTGGCGGTGTTGGTATCTTGACGACAATGTCGGTGGGCTCGCGAATGACCTCTGCCTTGAAGCCCTCCTTGGGATCCGCTGTGTACTTGACGGTGCGTATGAAGCCATCCGAATCGACCACCGAGTAGCTGCCCTTAATCACCGAACCGTCGCGGACTTCTTTGCGATTCTGATAGTTGGTGAACTCATCGTCTTTCACATCGAAGCCAAACTGATACGAGGAGTTTTGCTATGAAGAGAGAGAAGGAGAGAGAGAGAGAGAGAGAGAGAGAGAGTTGTATTTGCATATCAAGTTGAGCATTTCAAATGCGTAGCGCCATGTGACCCAGTTTTACTTCAATTACAACACACTCGGTGACTGCGCATGCGTGTGGGCGTATGGGCGTGTATCTATGCGTGTGTGTGTGTGTGTATCCCCGACTGGAATATTCAAGCCCAGATCGAGTTGCTCAACACGCACAAGTGAAAGTAATTTGAAGTCGACTTGCATATTTTTAATGACACGAACAACTGCAACCGATCGCTGGGGCATGCAGCGATCGCATGTTGTCTTATGCAACCGGCCACTCAAATCCCCAGAAATCTTTTTGCACGTAATGCCCAACGAGGCCTGCCCCCAGATATACATCAAATTATACATTCATTGATAGCTTGTGCACAATTCATGCACAAGGTTGCATTGCCCCCTTCACAGTTGACGAGGAAGCGACCAGAGAGTAAGGCTAAGCTCTGCTAACTGGGTTAAGGTAAACCAAAGCCAAAACGTGCCCAATAGGCGTGTTCGCATTGGCCAGCAATTGTTCTTAGCCTGACGTGGCCCAAAAGCGAAGAAAAAATAAACGAGCCAGCCCAAAATTTATTGGAATTGCTGCATTGCTGCAAAATTGGAAAGGCAATTGGCCAAAAGAGCTAGTTTCTTGAAGCCGGTTCTAATGCGTGCACTGTCCACTCGGAACTGATCGTGTTTTGGGTGTCTTTTGGTTAGCTTTACTAAATGGGTCGCATTTGAAAGTGATTGTAACTGTGGCGTGACATGCAGCTTGACATTTTTTTGCTCTCTATGTAAGTATGTGTAGTGTGTGTGTGTATGTGTGTGTGTGACACCATTTTTGTAGATTTGGCTAACGAGAAATGAATGCATTGGGCAGCACTGGCCAGTTGACAGCAGAACAAGATTTGGTCACTCTTTTGGGTACTTAAGATTCTTATCTTTTGACACATTTTGATGCACAAAACTGTCCAAAGATAAGGCAGCAATGCAGTCAGGTAATGGCATTTGGTAACCTGACTTAGTTTTTGAGTATGTGCTAGGATAGTCTGCATGTTATATATATACTCTATTACTCTATCTCTATCTATTACTCTATTGGTTTATCAGGCAATAGTGGAACTGCTTTACATGCAAATAATCTCACATAACTGTCAACATATTCTTTTCCCTTCCGTTGCACGATTGATTTCACAGCTTTCACCCAGAAGAGGCCATACAACTATTTTTGCGTCCCACTTTGCATCATACACAGCTCATATATGTATGCAAAGCAGTTTGGCTTGGGCTGGGGATTAATGCGAATTTTTCCATCGGATACATTTGGCTAACGAGCATCCGCAGCTTCCGCATGAGTGGGCCATAAATAAATGTTAGCCAGGAGTTGAGTTTTGGTCACGGCTATGGCCAAGTGGCTGCAGTTAGAGCTGCATTGTATTCGATGGTTAATGAACTCTATGGCTAAATCTCTCTCATGCTTCAATTGTAATTATGCACTGACTGGCTGGATGGCTGTCTGTCTGTCTGCCCGTCTGTCTGTCTGTCGGCCTGTCTGCCTGGCTGGCAACATTGTTTAGTTGGTTGCGAAAACGAAAACGAAAGTGCGCGAAAGCGGAGTTCGAACCCGTTATGGTCAACTTACATCATCGTACTCCTCCTCCTCCGCCTGCTGCTGCTGCTGCTGGTGCGATTGCAGCTTGAGTTGTCCTTTGCCGAGCAGCGGAGCGGACGACGCCTGATAGCTGGGGCGACGCGGGGCTGGGGCAGGCGCTGCCTGTGGCTGGCGATAGACGCTCTGCTGCGGCTGCGACTGATACTGCAAAGGAGAGCAAGAAGTGAAGGTGAGTCGTCGCAGCTTTGCATTACCTCTAGCCTCTGCCCACCTGTGGCTGCAAATAGTCTCTGACCGCTGGCGCCACATAGCCCTGCGGCTGCTGCTGCTGCTGCTGAGCGCGTATCTGCTCGGCGACCGTGTCCTTCAGCCTGATCTGCTGTCCAGCGCTCACATATTGCTGCGTCTGCTCGGAGTTCTGCTCGTAAATGGGCGTGCCATCGGAGGGCCGCTGCTGTTGCTGCTGCTGCTGCAGCTGTTGATAATACTGACGCAAGTAGGCGGGATCGACGCCCTGTTGCGCTTGGACGGCTCCGCAAATCGCGACCGTGGCCATAACGAGCAATAGCTGCATTATAATACGAGTTTGTTTCTCTGCTGTTGCCGTTGCTGCTGCTGAACTACACTTCCACTTTATTGCCGATCGATACAAAACGCGCACGTCCCACTCCAAGTCACAAAACTATCTGCGTTCACTGCAAACTCCCATTGCACTTTTATATCGAATACCTCTCACGATCACCAGAGCCGCAGCCAGACTCGGAGCTAGAGCCGCATTCGGTTGTCTCTCCGGCTCTCTAACGGTCGTTGGTGCCGCGCTTTGTTGGTAGCCTCTTTTTTGATTTACTACAGCTGTTGGCTTGCATAGCTGGCACTTCCGTTGCCATTATATCATGGACAGTATTGTCTCTCTGTGTACGTACCGCCTGCGCGCTCGCCCCCGTCATCGGCTCAGCTGATTTTGAGAGCTCGCCTCGACCTGTGTGTCATTGTTGCTTTAGTGAAAATTGCTGCTCCAGTTTACGTTTGCTTCATTTGCATTCATAAACATTACGTGCGATCCTCCAACTGGGTTAGCACTAGCCAGAGCTGTTAATGCAAGTCTGCTAACTTTTGCTGCACTGTTATTTAACATTTTTTGATCAGCTTCAGTTTCATAAATAGTCAGCCGTAATGGACAGCCTTCTGTTATCTAATTTATGGTGTCAGCCTGCAGCTAATTAACATTTATACCAAATGTTAACATCTAACATTGATCTCTGACATTTGCACTCTATTCCTCTGTTAACTGATATTCGGCTAACAGTTAGCAGCTGTACCTAGCTGTTAGCTAACATTTGTTATTAAGCTTTAATTTGATTGCCCATTATAAAGGCTGTTAACTAACATCTGACAACCACTTAGCAACCTTACCCAACTGTTAGTTAGCATTTAGGGGCTCTTTAGCTGCAATTGTCGTTAGATTATCTACTTAAGCCATTTGTCAGGTCAATTGCTTGAGTTCAATGCGTTTAGGGCTCCGCCTCAGTCACAATTTATTGAATTTAATCCGACAAGTGCAAAAGACTATTGTTCATAGAGTTTGACCCAAATTGTTAAATCACAGCAAACTCGATATCGAAAACGTTTCGCTGCCTGTGTATGCATGTGTGTGTATGTGTGTGTGTGTGTGTTTGTTTATCTGTATCTGTTGCGACCACGTTGCGGTTGAATAGCTTCAAGTATGCCAGCGATCTTTTGATGTGATTGCCAAATCTTTTGCATTTGAAGACCTTTACACCAGATGCAGGTACCACAAAGCTGTTGCCAAGCGATAGCACGTAGCATACGCAGTCATTAAATCTCAATAAAGCCACCGCCTGCCCCACCCAACGTACGCCCACCCACCCAATAATGTACGATTATTTGTAAGCGTCTCTGATGCGATTACTTAAGAGCAACAATTTCTGCGATCCATTGCAGAGAAATAACTGCGTTACGCTCTAGGGTTTTTTGATTTTGATTTTGATTTTAGTTTCAATTTCGATTTAGTTTCGTTTGATGACACACATGAAGGATTTTATTCGCCAAGGTCGTTGAAGTCTATTCAAAGTCTGTTTCTTAATGGAGCTTGTGCGATTTTCGTCAGCCGTTGACCGTTTAATGGGGGCGAGCGCAATGTGGCTTGTCCAAATCGTGGATTACTAAAGCGATGAAGTGAAAGTACATTATGTATAACAGACAATGGTTAGAGTCGAAAAATGTATGTGATGTCCGTGTGTTTGCGTTTGAGTTTCAGTTTGAGTTTGCATACACATAATTTCAATAAAAATGTGTTTAATTGCGTGCGTGATTGATGGACTTCAAATGTGGTAAATAGATTTATTTAAATATATATCTAGAGATCTGCCGAGTCATGTTATGCAAAGTTTTTGGAAGTATCGGATTACGGCACAGAAAACCAGGGAAATTGAAAGTCACTTAGCTCTAATTAAATGCAATTATAAATGGGGTGTGCCCACTCTCAAGAAAAGTCTGTTTGCATTCATGGAGCGGGATATATTTGAATATAAATAATATGTATGCGACTCATTGAATCTCTTTATAAATTTAAATAACCGCTTGCATACCCTACTTATTTCTCTTTTATATTATAAATGAAAAATCATTAAAAACAGCAACTCTGCACAGATAATTCAGGGTATCTGCAAGTCGGGCACACCCGACTCCAGCACTCTTACTTGCTTTGCTTTATTCGGTTTCATACATTTGTAAGGACTAGAACCACTCGCTGTTGATTTCGAACGAAGTCAACTTGAAATGAACATAAATAATATATTTAATAAAAATCTTTAACTAAAATTAAATTTCTCTTCTCTTTTTGGTTTTTTTTTTATTGACTATTGCGCTGGGAGGCTGACAAAAAGGCTGACAAAAAAAACAATTGCACTCAGCAAAGAGTGAGTTAATTTTGGTTGTTGTTTGTTTAAATTTATAATAATATTTAGATCAGCTCCTTTGAATTTCTGTTCCGATTCGTAATATGTATATATGTATATATATTAGGGGTATTCCTTTGGTTAGTTGCTTCTCTTGTCGTTGTTTTTTTGCTTTATAAATTATTTTTAAATAAGTTAAACAGAATTTCATAAAAATCCGCTAAATTGGTTAAGTAACGCTTAACTAGCAACTGTTGTTTGTTTGTTGTTATTTTAATTGTCGCCGGTTGCTGCTGCTGTTGTTGTTGTTGTCGACTGTTGCTGCTGCTGCTGCTGCTGTTGTTGCTCTAGTAGTCAGTGGCACCAATAACGCTGTACATCAGACGATTGAACGAGCCGCTCTGGCGTATGTTTTCATCGTGCGTGTTTACCACCTGTTAAGTAGAGAGCATATGTTAACTGATAACAGCGCTGTTAATATGACCTTCTGTTACTTACATTGTACGGCGGCCGGGATACTGGCGCTGATACTGGCTTCTGTAAAGGCATTTATAAGGAATGTAGAAATAAAGATAAAATTTGCTTAATGGAGAGAAATATTCCAGCTAAATTGATTTCTTTTTTTTTTTTTTTTTCATAAGTTATGAGCGTGCTTTCTGTTAGTTAGTCCGTTATGTTATGCCAAAAATAAGAAGCTGATTGTGACTCGGAAGAATATACACAGAGATGTGATTAATGATGATGCTGTACGACTTGCAGATTCCATGACAAGTTATCCAAAATCAAAAATAATAATGTTAGTATGCGGCATAGGGTTAGTTAACATTGCATTGCCTGACAGCACATCAAACATACGAGCGCCGCTTAACATTCTGCTAGGCATACGAGTATATAGCATTGGACAGAGGACACACAGAGAGAGGACAATAGAAAGAAACAAAAAATGCTGTGACGGTACTATAAACAAAATTTTGATTTGACTGTACGTGAGACGGCGAGATACATTTAGAGATAATAGTAGACAGAAATAGAAAGATATTCAAATAGTGCGCAATGAACTGGACAATTGATTTATATATGTATATATCGTGTCTATCACACCGATATATATCTCACATATAAGTTTTTGTTTTGAGCTGAGAACAATTTCGATTTGATTTCGATTTGACAGTTGACGCGATCTTACCTTTCCTGGAACCAATCTATTCGGCTGGTAGACCTTTGTCTGCACAGGTATGGTTACTTCCTGTGGCGAGGATTGACCATAGCTGCTGTAGCCGCCCTCCTCTTGAATGGCTCTGTAGGTTTCGCTATTCCTTGGATCGTAAACAACAGTTTTCTTATAACTGTTACGTCGATTCGATTTATCGAGTTTGCATATTTATCGATTGTTTTTGTTTTGATTGAGATCGTTGAAAGCGCCATATTGTGGTAAATATTATATGTCAAAATATTTAAGGTTATGCATTTGTTTTAAAGAATTTTTTAACGTTATGTCATTTTTATTGTTGTTGGTTAAGTTCATATATGTATACAGGTGTATATACATATATGAATTGTTTTTGTACATCGGTTGAGTAGCGTGAGACAGAGTAGTGAGAGAATAGAAAGAGAAAACAGGATGTGCACAAAATACGTTAGAATTATTTTTGTTGTTTTGTGATTTTTAATTCTTTTTTTTTTAGTTGTTTTCCAATCAAATAGCCGTTGTCTTAAAACTCGACATTTTCTCAAAAAACTTTAATTAATAAGTAAAGAAAAATTCAACAAATCTCTTACAGCTAATTATTAAATGTAAATTGTATAACAGAACTGCATAACAAAAAGTTGAAAGTTAATATTTAAGAAAAAAATTGTATTAAATAGTTGATTAATTGTAGGATTCGTGTTAGTCAGGTACTACTGTTAATACTTAGTGGGAATTTAGGAACTTTGTTGTTGTTGTGTTGTCTTTGACACTTTCAGTTGGATAAATTCAGCAAACGTCTTTTTTAGGAACTTTTGTTTTGGGGTTGGTTTTTGTGTTTTGTTTAGGGGCAATTCTTGGACTAAGGGACTTTGGGGGTATGTCATTGCTCTAGTTAAAAATTGTTGCTAATTTTGTCATTAATATCAAAAAACAATTTATATTGTTCATAGTTATTTTTGTTGATAGAGCTGCTGCAGTTGCTGTTGCCGCTGTTGACGTTGTTGCTCGGCAAGTAGATCTTTTTGCTTTTGTTGCTCCAGGATTTTACGTTTTTGTTCCAGGAAAGATAGATCGATGAAAATTCTAACATTAATCGTGCAGCTAAGTTCTAAGTTTGATAATATTTATTGGCTAGAGTATTGTGTTTTGTTGGTATAAAATATAAATATTTATATACTTATATATAGAGATTGGTTTGGTTAGGCATCTTATCCAATTAGAAGAATTGATCAATTCTTATTAAGAGTACATCATCTAACATATTTACAGCATCTGTCCTAATTGCTTTTCACCTTTCACAATTGCGCCTCATATGCCATTCTAATAGATATTCGGTCAAAGAACAACAAGGAATAGGACTTGAGGAACTTTAAACTCTGACTTCGAGAGGTTTTGATTTTCTTTGTTGTCTCCAGATTGCGTTAGGAATTGGAATCAAACAATCAGACTCATACATGTAACATATAGACAGCACATGCACTCATGACCTTGGGTCTAGCTGTACGTATATATATGCATATATATAGGACATACATGTAGGTATGTGTGTATATATACTTGATATGGGATTAGGACTATACACAGGTTGCAGCTTGTTGTGGCTGGGTGTACAACAATTCGGTTAATCGTTCGTTGGCAGGCAGAATAATATGTGAACATATACATATGGTAAACTAGTACATCCATACGGTGTACGTGTAGGAAAATTTTGTAATATTTGTAAAATTTGTGTACGTAGCAAACATTCAAGTTTCCAATTAAGCCTAATAATCAATCAAGTTTCTAGAAGACCGAATGCTTGGCCTCTGTTTGTTTACGATCTTCAAGGAAATGCAAGTCAATCAATCAATTCAGTAAAGTGTATGTATATATAAATATATGGGTGTATATATACGTGTTTATATATATATCAGGCTGTGCTCAAAATATGTTTACTTTTACCCGTCAAGTTTTGTTGGCAAAGGACGATGCAAAGGACTTTCCTTCAAGCGATTGCTATCGCTTGTGGCAAAGCTACAACAATATACATAGAATATATTTAAAGATATATGTATGTGGTGTATATATATAGAGAGAGCATTTGTATGTATGTATATGTACGTGTGTATATAGAGAAACATTGAGCAAGTAGTAGACATACAACATCTATAGACTCCCTGGTCTAATGGGTCTTATATGTGTGTGTCTTATTGTAGTTTTAGTAAATTTTGTTTTGTTTTTATTTTTATAAATAATGGTTTAGGTCTTAACTAGGCACGGACTTTCGACTAATCAAAATAATAGATCTATATATATATTAGTTGAAAGCTTACTAAGGCGCATCTTAAGAGCTGCATACAAATTGTTGACAAAAAACTACGCAAACCAAAGTATTTTATTCAAAATTTGATTTTTTTTTTTTCGGTTTCCAAAAAATATTTCAATTTGTTGGTTGTTAACAGAGTTTCAAAAAGTTTGCTGGTTAGTGTATTTGTCTTTTGTAACTAAGCATTTGATATTGTCAGTTGAGGAGCTTTAAAGAGGAATCCAAATGAGTGGTAAACTTACGGAACTGTTGTTCTGATGGTGTCCTCAATATTGTTGCTGGAGTAGAGACCAATTGGCGAGTTGAATTGCTTGTGGAAAACCTAAATAAAAATGGTTAATAATATTGAGTGTTTTCGCTAGAAATTTGAGGTTTTTGTAGCTTACTCTGCCAGTGTCGGCATCCTGGCCAACAACCTTGTGCAACATGGTATCGGCAACGCGTTGCTTCATGATACTGTCATGGTAGTCGTGTCCGGGATGAGCGCGCACAGCTGGATTTGGATAATGTCTCAGATATGATTCTGTTGTGGGCGCATCCTTTTTCACTTTTGCACCGGGCAGCACCAGTGGAGTTGTTCGGTATGGCTATGGGAACACATATACAAAATTGATGATTAAATTTATTGATTTGTTTATGCCACACAGCTTGCAAACATTTGCCAATGCCTTTCAAGCTAGTGCAATCTAAATAAATAATAAAATACTATGTACAAAGTCCGTTGGGGCAGCATCCAAATGTATTGAAAACAATTCGATATGCTTTATTTAACAGACAGCTAAACAATTTCAGTGTATTTTGCATTTGTGTGTGTGTGTGCGATTTCTGTATAAACTTTATTTACGAAAATTCCATTTTATGTACGAGAGTGTGATTGCCGCAGTCTATACACATACATATATTTTAAAAATATCTCAGCGTTGCGAGGCTAGACTAATATTTATAGGTGCTTACGTAAGCGTTTTCGCCTTCGTCCAGCAAAATTTTCATTTTCTGCTTGCTGTTTTATTTTTGAAAATCAACGGTCACACGCAGTCGCACAAGCGCGTAAGTAATTTAATATTCAGTGCGACAAAATTCAAATTTTCAAATTTTTGCGCCAATTATCGAGTGCAATGTTTCGTGCAGTGCTGTAAAGTACCGTGAAGTGCTTTACAGCGCTGCCAGACTGCGACAGCTGCAGCTGATCGTGAAGCGCAGCTGAGTCGCCTTTCGCGCCTTTTGCTTACATTTTCATTGTCACACATCGCTGAAAACTTAAACCTAGCTTAGATTGAAATAAATCCTCATTGCATACTAAGTGATCAATAAGATCAATAAACTTAACAAAGCTTAACAAATGGCTGCCGTACGCCGCTCCACGCGCTTGAGTAGCATTAGCAAGTCTGCCGTAGCAGCAACTGCGACGGCAGCGCTGCCACAGTCGTCGTTGCCCTCAACGCCACGACGCTCAGAAATTTGGCGCTTGAGGCAGACGAAACGGATCGAAGACAGCGACGACGAAGATCAGGATGATACTATTAGTGTAATTTCAGAGAATAACGAAAACAGCAACCTGTTGAATCAAATGGACAAAGCGGGCAAACGTAAGACAGCCACTGCGGCAAAAATCAAAGAAGCGCAACTAAAGACGCCACGCAGCAATAAGAAAACGACGACAAAAACTTCGGTTGCAGCTTTGACGAGCAGAGCCAAACAGATTGAGGCTAATATACGTGCTACAAAATTGATGGATGAAAGCAGCAGTAGCAGTAGCAGCGAAGAGGATGAGCAAGATGATACTGCACATGTGTCGCCGCCAAAGCAGCGGAAGACGCATCCGTTGCCACAACATTTGATCAGCCCATCGCGACTGCTGGACAGACTGAGCATAGATGAGCGCGTTGAGGAGGTAGAGAAAGTGGACAAGGAACAAACAAGCAAGACTGAAACGGAATCCAAAGAGGCAGAGAAGGAGGCGAAGCCATCACCTCCACGTAACAAGTATCAGAATGCGCGCCGGGTGCTAAACAGCGCGGAGACTCTCAATCTGCCTGGAAGAGAGCCACAACTGCAGGAGCTCCGGGAGTTTTTCACGTCTCACCTAGAGTCGCAGACCTCGGGTAGTCTCTATGTCTCGGGCCAGCCAGGCACGGGCAAGACAGCCTGTCTCTCGCTGCTTTTGAGAGCGCCCGAGTTCGCCCAGAGATTGCAACGTGTCTACATCAACTGCACGAGCATTGCCAGCGTGGGTGCTGTCTATAAGAAGCTGTGCACAGAGCTGCAGCTGAAGCCAGCGGGGCGTACTGAGCGAGACCATCTGGCGGCCATCCAACGTCATCTACGCACAGCCAAACGTATGTTGCTCTTGGTGCTGGATGAGATCGATCAGCTGTGCACATCAAGACAGGAGGTTTTATATACGATCTTCGAGTGGCCCGCTATGCCAGGTGCTCGCATCTTGCTCGTTGGCATTGCCAACAGCTTGGATCTCACAGATCGTGCGCTGATGCGTTTGAATGCGCGCTGCGAACTGAAACCAAGACTGATGCACTTCCCACCCTATACCAAACCACAGATTGTAGAAATCTTTAAGTCCCGTCTAGCCGAAGCTGAAGTCTTGGACGTCTTTCCACCTGTGACGCTACAGTTGCTCGCGGCGAAGGTGAGCGCTATTAGTGGCGATGTGAGACGCGCTTTGGACATTGGCCGACGCGTTGTGGAGATTGCCGAGCAGCAGAAGAGGGCGGGCGAAAAGGAGTTCAACATGAAGGCGCTTGAGCTGGACGGGAACAGCGCACAGGTTGAAGGTAAAGAAATAGTATGGAATGGTATGGACAGCTAAAATAATATATATTTAATTTACAGACACCCTCAAGCCCGTACAAGTGAGTCAAGTGGCTGCTGTGCTCAACAAGGTCTACGGCGCCTCACAGAATCTAGAGGAGGATATCGAAGCTGCCTTTCCACTGCAACAGAAGCTAATGCTCTGCTCTCTCGTGCTAATGCTGCGCAATGAGCGCAACAAAGACATCAGCATGGGACGCCTGCATGAGGTGTATAGAAGGGTGTGCGCGAAGAGGAACATACTCGCACTCGATCAGGCAGAGTTTGCTGGCACTGTGGATCTGGTGGAGACGAGAGGCATTCTGCGTATTATGCGCAAGAAGGAACCACGACTCAACAAAGTGGTGCTGCAGTGGGATGAGGAGGAGGTGCACGCAGCACTGAGTGACAAACAGTTGATTGCTTCCATCCTCAGCGACACGGCCTGCCTGGCCAAGTGACGGATCATGATCTTCATCATAATAGATTACCTTTAAGAAAATTAGCTTTTAGCCCATTTCACTGCTGCCGTTTTTATTTAATTGCGCATTTCTCACAATTTATTCATTCACCTTGGCCACAAAAAAGAATCGAACAATTTTTGAGAGGAATACAAAAATAAATTAGAATTTCTGTTCATGCTAAATTTAAAATTGTGTTGCTAGCGCAAGCACGAAGAATATTTCGAAATATACATTTGAGGGTCACTTTCGAATGTTTTTAATTGAAATTATGATTTTTATAAATTTAAGTCAAATATCGTTCATATTGGAAAAATTCACACAAATTGTTGACAAACTCTCACACATTGATTTCATATAGCTCTTAACTAAATAGTGTTAAATTAAATAAATAAATTAGTTTTGCAATATATAAATATATATATGTATGTATATATGTAAATATCTATCTTATGCTAGCAAACATTGTTTAGCAACAATTGTTCACTTTCGCTGCGCATTTATCCGACATTATTTGAGGCAATGCCAAAAATCAAGTCTAAGCTCTTTTGCTTTTGGGCATTAAACTAATTATCGCCCATGCCGTTTGCTATATAGTCATTTTTAGATTAATTTCATTTCGAATAATTTTGTTTATTATTCTCGCTCAACGCTTTTCTTTTCTTTTTTGTTTTTTGTCCATCTAAAAATATCTATCGAGTTGGTTTGAATTACATTCGAGAAAGAGCTTTGAAAAATATGTTTCAGCAAAAATGTTCAATTTGTTTTTGTTGCTTTCAACGCACAAATATGTTTAAATAATAAGCTAAATGGTGGGTGTATACATAGAAGAAGCAGAGCAGAGAGACCGCGAGAGAGCACATCTTAGATATATATTTATATGTACATATATATAGTATAACATTTTTAGGAAAATTTCAGAAATAATTGAAAAACGTTTTCCAACTGTTGCTTTCGTTGACATTTGTATTTGAACTTGAATTATACAATTTTTTTTCTTTTGACAGTAAAGGTGACGTCTTTCAAGTGGCCAAATGTTTTGAGCACTGAACTTAAATGTATTTTTTTATTGTTATTCATATTTTGGCTTGTTCCATTGCTGCACTTTTTGTAAATCTTTCAGAATTATTTTCAGTATTATTCTTATTTCCAAAAACATATTAAGGATAGATTTACTTCTCCAAGAAATTATAAAAAATTATTATATTATTTTCCCTTTCGGAAAAAATATTAGTTATTTATTTATTTTTAATTGTAGTATGTCTTGAGCTTGCACTTTTTTGAAGAAGCTTCTTTGGTAGGTTATTAATTTGGGCTCTTTCCGTTTTTGCTAGGTGAGTTCGTAATGCTTACTTGATATTGAATGCACTCATTGAGGTCTGGCTGCTCCTTGTAGTAGACGGGAGATCCATTTTTGAACTGAACGTACTCCATTTTAATATGTGTGTGTTTTTATGTAGTTTTTTGGTATTTAAACTTTAAACTCCTTTATTTTTATCAGCAAAATTTGGAATGGAATAAAAACGGGAAAAATTATAGAAAAACTCTTACGTAACGTTAAAAAGCAATTGCTAAATAACACTATTTAAATTTTATATGAAAATTATTATTTATTTATTCTCTTTCTCTTTCTCTTTTCTTTTCTTTTCTTTTTTTTCTTTTTATGAATTGGGAAACTTGCTTTTATGGCACGTTTAAAATAACGCTTCTTCTTCTACTTCTTCTTCTTGTACACCACTCTTGCGGAGATCGCTTCACTAGGCTTTGGATGGATCTTGTATCTTGTTGTTTATTTTTCAATATTCCGAACGCAACTGATTTGAAAATTTTCAGATGCTGGCGAATTATTGCTATTTCGACTGCGCGGAATTCCAATCCATCTATATAGAGTCTCTATATATGAGTTGTAGCTGTCTATGTGTATGTATGAATTTCTCTATGTGTGTGTGTGTGTATGGTCATATAGCACAGCCAGAGTGCGAGTGCTGACGGTCAGAGGCCGTTCAAACCCACGCACACCACCGCACCACCAGCACACATTGCCACATCCTCTCACTCACCCATACATTCTCTCTCAATTTGTTAAAGATACATATTCTTACGCTAAATGTTTTTGTGCAAATAGATTATTCACCGAGCGTAACATTCAAATACAACAACAACTTACATATAAACTTGGACTTGGATGCTGCCGTGAGCGCTTTTCACAATCGCCCACGCGCCGTAAGAAAAACCCCGCCCCGACATCACCCTATAACGGCATGCATATATAAAATATACATACATGCATACATATATGTATATCTATATAATAGATACATATGTGCTGTCAGTTGTTTGTCCTGCCTATTCACAAAACAAAATTGTATATCATCCATATAATTTAATTGACGATTTTTGGAGCAATTTATTTTTTCAAAACGAGGTTATTTGTTTTCATCATAAAATCTAAATAATTCCACAAAAATGTTGCTCTATAGCACAATATTGATGTGTTTCAGTTTGTTTCAAATATTATATACAATATCGATATTTATAGATATAACATTGGCATTTTGTGCTGCAACTAATTGCTGTCAAAGAATCAATTGGCACTGGATTCATCATGGGGACAGGTGTAATTAACCTTCATTAGGCTAGACGAGGCGTCAAAGAACTTTCAAATTTCAAGGTACTCATAATTTACATGAAATTATGTTTATTTTTCTGCCTCCAAAACTGAAGGTTATTTGTTTAACATTAGGTATTTTTACAGAAGAACATTCATTGAGTGGGTTGATCAAAAAGTTTTTCGGAAAAGAATAACAAACTGATCTTGGCAGCTTAAGAAAAATCTATTTTTATATATATGACAAGTTTTTTTATTTTAATTTGGGCTATTTTTATTTGACTTTAGCATATCTTACAATCATATTTTTTGACGAGAAATCCTAAAAAATAGATAGACAAGCACCTTGATTTAAATTTATGTTACATTGACAAACAATATGGCAACCTTGACAGGTGGCAGCACCCGCCGGTGAGGTGGGCTGGGCGAAACACTTTCATTGGCATTGCCTGAAGAATATCACAAGGTAGCATCCGACAACAGGCAATGCACATGCCCACGTAGACTGATATACTTGGCACATGTTTGATTCATATACATACATAAGTACCACAGATATATATATGAGGATACGTATGTATGTGTATGTTTCAGTATAATTACGCTGCTCACCTGCCTGCAGCTGAGTGAAAATGTTCAGATTCATGTTTTTGTTTATTTGCGCCGATGTTATTTTCATTTTGCTCATAAAAAAGGGCGTTCGTTTGCCTTTTTGTTTATTTTGTTGCCAATTTTTCCACCTGCAGACTGCGTCACAAGACTTTCCTGTTTAGCGTACAAATTTTCGCAGCTAATACTTGTGTGTGTATATATATCTATTTTGGCTATATTTAGATTGTGTAAACAGTCAAACCTTGACCACAAAATGTCTATCCTCTGATGTCAGCAGATGGCAGACGGACTTTACAAAATTCATATCTATTTCATAGCAAAATTTATTGCCTCCATCAGGGAGTCAGATTTGTACAGAAAATCATTTTTTCGTAGCATACTTTTAAGCGCAAATTAAATAGAATTGCCTGCCAAATATGGTGGATATTCATGTAAATTGTAAAGGAAATGCGACTGATATTTTTCATTGCATAATTTTATGCGCCGAAATAAATAAAAATATTTCCCCAATGAGAAAAGTGTACACGTAAATTATGCACAGGGTAAGAAGGTATTGATTGCTAACTTTAAGAAGTAAACAAGTGAGTAAAGCGAAAATATTATTGATATTTGAAAAAAAAGTAAACAATGTAGTAAAAGCAAACAATTTTATATTGAACTTTATGTGAAGCGGAAGTGTTAATTGTAGCCAGCCCTCGGCGCTCCGCCACTCACCTGATTAACAATGAGCGCTTGCTCCTCGGCAACATCCTGTTGATGATCGCGAGTGGCCTTTGGAGCAAACACATTGGCGGGTGTCACATAGCCACCCGAGGCATTTAGCTGCGGAAATACCGTTTGGGGCAAGGTATCTACGGGCAGCTGCAGCGCACGTTCGAAATGACTGGGCCCGGGTAGGAAAGGTGATGGACCGCGGTGCGGATGCTGCGATAATTCCGGACTGGCTGGCGGCAACTTTGAACTGTTGCCCGCACCAGCTTCCTGATTGACGCCCTGCGTGTAGGCAATTGTGTTGTCTCTGCAAGAGTTGTTAATCAATAAAAGTGCTGCTTGCATTCAAAGATGTGTCATCAGCTCACCTGTGCACCACTAAACGTATTTCGTTGCCAGCTCCGCGGAACAGCTGCTGGGCATCGGCGTGACTCAAGTCGCGTGCATCATACTCGCCAATCTTGGCTATAATATCGCCGCGCAGCAGCTCCCCATACGATGGGCTGCCCACTTGCACCTGTGGGCGAAGGTTAGGCACATGAGATGCTTGTTAAGGCACTTGAACAGACCTACGACGCCCTTGACATAGATGCACAGACATCATATTTATGACGGGGGCCTTTTCTATTCCCCCACACCCTTTGCATTGTTTACATGCGTCGTCTTCTATCCGCTGCTGCGCCTCAATTAGTTTTACTGGCGTCTCAGAATATGCAAATCTTTGGCAACGATGCCATTGCAACATTCTCCTAGCGCTCTAGTGTGAGTGCGTGCCAGTTTCGCTATTAATACCCTACATTTGCGAAAAGGGTTAAAGGGTGTGCTAGATAGAGTAGAAAGTCGAACGCTAAGGCTTCTTAATAATCTCTATTCTAGCTGAAGAGCTTTGCTGTCAGTAAGGTAATAGATTTCTGTTTCTATCTCTTTTTTTTGTCGCTGCAGAGTATTTGACAGTCGTACAGTGCCATCTTGTGATACCTTTACTGTTTTGATTTGTTGTTGTGGTTTGTTTTGTCACTAAGTAGTGCAGAACCCAAAGGCCAAAACAGTTTGGCAACGATAATGGACAGTTCTCTGCCGCGCCGCTCTGTGCAACAATTGTGATGAATGGGCCGTTGAGACGACATTCAACCACAAAGCGACAGGCGACCAGCAGAACAGCGAGCAGCGAGCAGCGGGAGGAGCATCAGTGCCAGCTCTTCAGTTCTTCAGTTCTTCAGTTCTTCAGCTGCTGCTGCTCTAGTTACATAACGCACAAATCCCACACTCTACACATTACCCTGGTGATGATTAACGGCGTATCCAAATCGTTGCCACCGACCAAACGAATGCCCCAGGGCGTGGCCTGGCCATCGCGCTGGAGCTGCACGGCAAACTCATGGAGCTTGGGGCTCATGTTAGACTCCGATATTGATAGAAATTTGAATTAAATACGTTTTCACAGCAGGCAACTCAATTGAGCATAGTTAGAGACGAATTGCCTTCTTCACACTTGATGCGCGAATTTTGTATTGTTTGTATTGGCTCAAAGTGCTCAGCCCGAGGCGGAGGTAGCGCGTGCAGCGCGATTTTTTCGCGTATTATTCGATCGCAATGCTGCTCAAGTACTAATTTTAAAATACAATTTGTATTCCTTTTTGCAGCGATGGCAGCGAATGATCGTGGTATACTACGAATACATTGCGCTACAATCATGTAGTCAGCAGCTGAGAAACATGAACTCAATCCAAATGCCAATAATTTTCATCATGCTGTACAAGCAAGAGCATTTCGGTTCGCTCGCTGCCATTGCAGGCAATTGAGATATTATTGAGAAATTTCATACTCAACAGCAATATACATATGTATATGTGTATTCCAGCTAGAGCAACAACGTTCTCTGGTCAGCTCTTTCATCCAGGTTGCATAGGCAAACTGACCCTGAATATCGGACGCCACATGTCGCCTCATCTGGGCGCATACAACACGATAATCACTCTAGAGATGATGACGAACGTTGGGGCATATGTTTTGCTTGCTTCTTTTTTCGACATTTTTATTATTTTGTTGCTCAGCGTCTAGATCGCATTCAAGCGAATGAGAGGCTGTAATTAAATTTATTTACTGGCACGCTTCAAATGGCGGCACTAGCAACAATAACAGTCGCTCATTCAAAACAAACAAATCAAAATGTTTGCGGCATTAGTCAATGAAACGTACAACGCGTCGTATGCGCAACATGCACAGAATATTTCTTGGCCCTTTCCAGAAGGCCAAGTTGAAATGGTAGGGCATTAACATATATACAGCTATATAACGCTGAATATATATTCAAACAAAAATTTCATTTGCCTTTGTTTTTGGCATCGCCGTTTTTACTTCTTACAACGGAAAAGACGGAAATTTTTGTGCTTCCCGTCGTTTTTCGAATTATATACATACAATATATATGGACAGGCATTTATTTTTGCAACCTATTTATTCGATTTGGTCTTCTTTCATTTTAGCCGAAAATTCTGAAATGTTTTTACTATTTACAGCCTGAATTTCTTGAAATGAAAATTCTTTCATTGCAGACCAAGAGACAAAAGTCTAATCAATTTTGCAATTGTCCACTCAAGTCAGTGATTAGCAAACGTCATAAATTTTTCAAAGCTTGTCAGTAAATGCATAAGCATTTAATTCAAAAAATCATTTGATTTTTGGCAACCGCAGCTAAAAGCATTTGCGTCGATTTCACGCTTTGTGCAAACATTTATGAAATATATGTAGATACATATCTAAATGCAGTTTGGGAATATCGAAAGTTGTATGTTGTTTTATTAAAGAGAAACTGCATCCGTGGCTAATTAATTAAATTGTGGCCAAGTTATTTACGAGCCGCCAAGTGCAAAATGTTATTGAACTGATTTCTGATGCGCTGACCGAGAGGGTATTGGGGCCAAAGCAGCGACGATTGACAAGCCATATGCCATATGCCAACAGCAGAGCATAGTCAGAGTGTGGGTGCGGGTGCGAGGGGCTGGTGTCGTCACTTACCCCATTATATAGCTCATCGGCAAAGTGGACACGCTTCTTGTGGCCGCAGCTGCCGCGACGGCGCAAGGTGGAAATCGGAAATGTGCTCGTTGGTTTAGAGACTATGTCATGTCCATTGTAACTAGGCACCTTCCAAAAAGCCGGTCGAACGTATGACGATCTGTTGGTCGTCATTGCTGGCCAACGACTAGCGTAAACAAATGGAATGCGCCACAAAAACCATATAAACAATTTAGAATTGCTCTCGCTCTTCTATTATACGGCCATACGTCTGCTCACGCCGACGCGTACGAGTAATATAGACGGCCCAAGCAAACAAAAAAATGAGAATAAACTATCGTTCGCCTAATGAGCACAAAATAACATGGTAATTATACAATCGGCTGAATTGGTGAAGAGTAACAAGTGCAATTGAAGCAATGAAAGAATTATTCCAATAGAACTGCAGATTTATACATTTGAAATTTAGCGCGCAGACGACTTCATGTGAGCTCAAAACTGCGTGCAGCCAACTTCACGTCACAACTAAACAGCGTTGCCAGATAGCTGAGGTGCCAATTCATTCATTATTAGCATACTGCACATGCAGTCGTACGTCCCTGCTATTATCTACAATAAATAACAACAAAGCAATTGAAAAGAAAACGTCAACAATCACGTACAACTTTATGGAGAGAGTACGGACTTCCGAGCAGCATGGCAATTTTTAAAGCACGGTATGTAGCTGTGATGCGCCAATGTAAACAGTCTTGTCTAAGGGAATGTGTTTCACTCTTTGTGCAGCGTAAAGGAATTCGAAGATATTTTTGCACAGGACGTGATTGAGCTGAAGCAGCTGCGCCAGCATACATTCAATGGTTAGTATGATGTAGGTAGTAGAAAAACAAGTAATAACACCCAATCCACAGGTGTCCCCGATGTGCTCAGCTTTCGTGCGCTCAGCTGGAAAATGCTGTTAGGCTATCTAGGACCCAAGCGTAGCACCTGGTCTACGACGCTGGCACAGAAACGTGCGCTCTATAAACAATTCATTATGGAGCTTGTGCTACCCCCTGGTCATACACATAATGGCGAAGGTGACAGCGATGATGGTAATGAATCAAGGGGCGTTGGCCTAAAAGATCACCCGCTCAGCGAGGGGCCGGAAAGCGCTTGGAATACATTTTTCAACGATAACGAATTTTTGCTACAAATTGATAAAGATGTGAGACGATTATGCCCAGACATATCGTTCTTTCAGCAGCCCACAGAGTATCCGTGCGAGATTGTTGTCCACAGCAAGGGAGAGCAGGGCCGAAGGCTACACGAACGAGTTGTGCCCTCCGTTTTAAGTTCGGCAAACGTTGAGCGTAAAGGTCTAGGCGTGACGAAGGTGAGTTTGTATAGGATGAAGACTTTGTTGGTCATTAAAAAATAAAAGATTAAGAAACATTCCATTATGCATTCAATACGGAATTTAGCAGCAAGTAAGTTGGCTGAACTTTAAAAGTAAATGACTAACATGATATTTTCTCCCGACCAGATAAACTTGATTACAAAGCGCTCGGCGGAAAACTACGCCGCCATGGAAGAAGGTCAAGAAGCTCATTGGGAGGTTGTGCAACGAATATTATTTATCTATGCCAAACTGAATCCCGGCCAGGGTTATGTACAAGGCATGAACGAAATAGTTGGACCTATATATTATGTTATGGCCTCGGATCCTGATCTCTCAAATCGCGCACATGCCGAGGCGGATTGTTTCTTTTGCTTTACTGCGTTAATGAGTGAGATACGAGACTTTTTCATCAAAACATTGGACGATGCAGAAGGTGGTATAAAGTGCATGATGTCTAGGCTGTCGAATATGTTAAAAGCAAAGGATATAAGCATCTACAATCATCTCAAAAGCCAGGAGTTACATCCACAGTACTATAGTTTCCGATGGATCAATTTATTACTCTCACAAGAATTTCCACTGCCAGATGTGTTACGTATATGGGATTCAATATTCTCGGATGAGAATCGCTTCGATTTCCTTATTAAAATATGCTGCTCGATGATATTGTAAGTCAGAGAAGCCATAATTCAAATGTAGATAATTATTGCATCTTTCCATTTGCTTATAGAATTCAACGGGAGGCCATACTAGAGAATGATTTCGCGTCGAATGTAAAGCTGTTGCAGAACTATCCACCCATTGATATTAACGTTGTTCTGACGCATGCCGTTTCACTGGCGTAGCAGTCGACGTACTCAAATTCGAATTTATGCCACAGCTTGCAATTTTTATGTTATGACCTGAATGATCTATATTCTGATGAGCAATACGTAAAGCAATTATTGACGAATGTATCAAAACGCACGTTCCATATGCTAAGAACTGTCTGTATTTATACACATGTTTTTGATAAAACATTTAATTTTTTAAACCTGATTAAACCACTGAATTTTAACATCTCTCTGTCCAAATTAAAACTCACAAACTTAAAAGTCGCAGGTCTACCGTTTGTAAAATAACTTCGCTTCATGTGAAAAACTTTTGATAACTTAAACTGTAAGACAACGTCTGCTTACTTGCTCATCTTTGGAGCAGTATCCTTGCAAATAGTCTGTGCAATAAATTCTATTAACGTGCGAGTTGGACGACCAGCCATGCCTCTTCTCAAATACTCGTACTCCTCACCTACTGTTACCATAACATTGGAAGCATCCTAGATAGATAAAGGAACATGGTAAGTTATATACATACACATACAAGTATAAAAATTACTTACAATGTGCATCCATTGACCACAAGGCACAAACTCCCTCAGGAAAGCAGCGGCCTTACAGGGACGGCCACCACGTCCGATACCATAATTCTGAACATCACTGCGTCCACCAGAGCGCACAGTCTTACTATAGTAGTTCCATAGAGGGAAACGCCAGACGCGATCGCCGGTATGCATGCTGGCATGCTTGATCTGTTGCCACAGGATTTCAGAATTGGTGAAGACACCACACGCAGCCTCATCTAAAGCTTGGCGCATGTAGCCCGAGCAGGTGCCAATGTCAATGATGCACTTGGGGCAGAAGTTCTGGCCATAGAGCAATGCATCAGCTAGAACTAGAACATCCTCATGGTCGGTACACTGAACTTCAATGGTCTTGCCATTCATCGACTTGACCATGTCTCCGGGACGGAACGAATTGCAACCAATGACGTTTTCACAAAGTGGAATGAGGCCGCGAATGTTGACTGGCAAACGCAGCCCTGCTACGGCGCGACAGGTGGCCACCACAACAGCAGCTCCCGTCATATCACCACGCATGTGATAAAGTTCCTCACGTTCCTTGAGGCACAAGCCACCGGCATCAAAGGTGATGCCTTGTCCGACCAACACAATGGGACGCTCCTCGGCACAAGTGCCATAGTAGCTCAGTTCGAGGAAAATGGGCGGTTCACAGGAGGCTTTGCCCACTGCAAGGAAGGCATGCATCGACTGACTCTCGGCCCATCCCTCTACCTTGACTTCCACGTTCACACCTGATTTACATAGAACCTCCACAACATTCTGGGCGAATGCTGTTGGTGTCAGAAGGTTCGAAGGCATTTCCTGAAGCTGGCGCGTAAGGTTCTGTGCAGCAGCTTTCTGCAGTCCAATACGCCAGCCTTCAATATCGCATATCTCATCCTTGGTGGTGTACAAGTCGATGGATGGCACTGACATACGTTTCTTGGGATCTCGCAGCTCCTGGTACACCCAGATGCCCAGAGCTGCGCCCTCAGCTGCCGACTCGGCATGACCACAGTTCTCGACTTCGATTCGGTCTGTATCCAGTTCAGCCAGAATCCGGCAAGCATCGGCCACCGAGCGGCGGATGGCCTCTTTCTGCTCATCCAGAACCTCGTAGGGGTTATAGCCGAGGCATTCTTTTCCCAGACCGATGACAGCCACCGCCGAGTAGTAAGGCACTCGCTCTGGCTCTATCGCGAAGAGCAGACGCGTTTCTCCACGCTTTGGCATGGGTCCAGACATACGTAGGACCTCCAGCAATCGCCCATGCGTCTTCTGCACGTTATATCGCCAGCCAGCCTGCGTTAGGATGCCGGCATCATTTTTGTCCTCTTCATCCGCGTACACACCGATAATGAGGCCCCGAGAGGGGGGATCTGCACAGATTTCCATTTGCTGAATCTGCAGCATCTGATTTATCATCTGCGAATAGTTTCGCTTGATGATTGCTTTTGCATTACGCATCTGCATAACCCGCGAGGCAAAGCGTTGCGTTACACGAAACATTTCGATTTATTTTTTTAGGAAAGAAAAAAAAACCTATGAAAACTTTTTGTAAAATATATCTGTACTTTGAAGGCACAAAAGAGAAAGATTTTTTCCGGAATAGTTGAAATTATTGCGTGTTCTGTCGCCAAAGAATTGAAAATCTGAATGAGGAGATGAGTTAACAAACAATAGCACATAAACTTCAATACTTACTAGATCTGGATATTTGGTGTACATGTATATAAGTTTCAATTTACTCCGACTAGCAGATACCCTAAGCTCTAGCTGCCAAGGCAAAAACTATGCCTGCATACATTCGGCATAAATATCTCAATTTACTCCGAATAGAAAATACCCTAAATTCAATGTCAAGGGAGAACGATTATTTGTATATTTCGGCTTACTCCGACTAGGACATACCCTAAGCTCTGTGACACGTATATCCAAAGCATGTCCAGCATCTGCTTATGTCTGTTGCTGCGATCTACTCTATTTCTGTGACGTGATTCATCTATTAGAAAAACTGCAATATATTTAACCGAAGATTAGATGGGCTTGCTTAAGTTCTTGAAGTCAGCTTTTTGAACTGCAGTTGATTACGCAGCATTCGTACTTTATAAATTGATCGAGCTCAATCCTATTTACCCGAAGGTAGTATACCGTCATAACCTAGGTATAGGTATACAGCTTCGCTGTCACAACAAATATCTTTCCACAATAGAATTCCCATAAATAAATAAACAGCAATTCAGATCTTGTCACAACAGTATGAAAGTTTAATTATGTGTCAACGAAGTGCAAGTGTTGTTTACAATATAATTTAACTAGTAATTTATGAACATATCGGAAAACGGAGAACGAAATACAAAACATATCCATTAAGAAAACACTTTCGTCCACCACCTTGTGATTAATTTGGTAACCACAACCTACGATCTGGAACATGGCGTACAATTGAATTTCACAAACAATGAGAAATTTTCTATTTTCCCATCTTCGGAGCAGTATCCTTGCAGATGGTCTGGGCAATGAACTCAATTAACGTCCGGGTTGGTCGACCAGCCATGCCACGACGCAAGTATTCGAAATCTATGCCATTTGTCACCATCACATTGGTCGCATCCTAAAAAATAGGGATTTAAGCTTTAGTAAGAACTTCCGATAGTATTTCGATGTGTACTCACGATATGCATCCACTGTCCGCAAGGCACGAATTCACGCAGGAAAGCAGCCGCCTTGCAGGGGCGTCCGCCACGTCCAATGCCGTAGTTCTGCACATCGCTGCGCTGGCCGGCACGGACGGCTTTGCTGTAGTAATTCCATAGAGGGAAACGCCAGACGCGATCGCCGGTATGCATGCTGGCATGCTTGATCTGTTGCCACAGGATTTCAGAATTGGTGAAGACACCACACGCAGCCTCATCTAAAGCTTGGCGCATGTAGCCCGAGCAGGTGCCAATGTCAATGATGCACTTGGGGCAGAAGTTCTGGCCATAGAGCAATGCATCAGCTAGAACTAGAACATCCTCATGGTCGGTACACTGAACTTCAATGGTCTTGCCATTCATCGACTTGACCATGTCTCCGGGACGGAACGAATTGCAACCAATGACGTTTTCACAAAGTGGAATGAGGCCGCGAATGTTGACTGGCAAACGCAGCCCTGCTACGGCGCGACAGGTGGCCACCACAACAGCAGCTCCCGTCATATCACCACGCATGTGATAAAGTTCCTCACGTTCCTTGAGGCACAAGCCACCGGCATCAAAGGTGATGCCTTGTCCGACCAACACAATGGGACGCTCCTCGGCACAAGTGCCATAGTAGCTCAGTTCGAGGAAAATGGGCGGTTCACAGGAGGCTTTGCCCACTGCAAGGAAGGCATGCATCGACTGACTCTCGGCCCATCCCTCTACCTTGACTTCCACATTCACACCTGATTTACACAGAACCTCCACAACATTTTGGGCGAATGCTGTTGGCGTCAGTAGATTGGAAGGCATTTCTTGAAGCTGCCGGGTCAGATTCTGTGCAGCTGCTTTCTGCAGTCCGATGCGCCAGCCTTCTATATCGCAGGGTTCATCTTTGAGCGCGTAGAGATCGATTGAAGGCACATAGATTCGAGTCTTGGGGTCGCGCATTTCCTGATAGGCCCAAATACCTAAAGCAGCTCCTTCTGCTGCAGACTCTGCATGTCCACAATTCTCAACTTCAATTCTGTCTGTATCGAGCTCAGCCAAAGTCTGGCAGGCCTTTGCCACAGAGCGTCGGATAGCTTCCTTTTGCTCATCCAGAACCTCATAGGGATTGTATCCCAGACACTCCTTGCCCAAGCCAACAACAGCTACGACGGAATAGTAGGGAACTCGCTCCGGCTCAATGGCGAACAGGAGGCGAGCCTCTCCGCGCTTCGGCATCGGTCCAGACATACGCAGCACCTCAATCAAGCGACCGTTTGTCTTCTGGACATTGTATCGCCAACCAGCTGCGGTCAGGATGCCCGCATCGTTCTTGTCTTCCTCGTCGGCGTAGACGCCGATGACCAGACCGCGCGAGGGCTGATCCGCACAGATGTCCATCTGCTGGAGCATCAGCATCTGGTTGATGGCTTGCGAGGCAAACTGACGACATATCGTCTTCGGCCTTAAGACACGAAAGAATACGCGACGGGTGAGCCCAAACATGATTCTCTCAAACGGGAATGTGCTAACTACGAATTCTTTTAAAAGGATTTCACCAAAATTTTGTTTTTTTTTTTATTGGGGGTAAAAAAAAAAATAACTATATAAATATTTTTTTCCGAAAAAAGAGGAACTAAGAATTTGTGTAAATACTATAAATTTTTTTTTGTTGACCGATATGTACTTAACAATACATTAACAGAGACTGATCTAAATCTGGGTTTCGACTAAAGCATAAACTGCTTTTGAATTTCCAGGGCCATCTACGATTCAGGTGAGCCTAACTCCACGCCCAGCCTACTCTTATCGAATGATTACATATTCCAAATTTTAAGAGTCTAGCTTCCATATCGACAAAGCGGACAGCAAGACGGGCATTTCACTTACGCGAATGAGTATAAATGTAAATAAAGTCATTTCATTTAGTTAAGCATTGCATTTCATTTCAATTTATTTTTATAAGCACTTGCTTTCTTTAATTAGTAGAGCTCGTTAAATTGTTAATTAGGTACAATGTTTGAATTCACTTAATAATACTGCTTTATATTTATTAGAAATTCATTTGATAACAGTTTCAACCAGAAATATGCGTATACTTAATATATATATATATACATATACATATATAATAAATATGTCGATTTATATTTATGCATCTATTATGTCGTACAAATATAAAATTAAATAATTAAAGCTTATGAATCAGTTGTCCATATTATTTAACAAGTTTCTTGTACTTTACGAGTTGTTATTGTATATTTAAGAGAAAAAATATAAATCTATGTATGTATATATTGTATTGAACGTAGGTTTGGCTTGGGATATGTTTCTGTTTAGATCGATTCGATTTGCTACCTGTTGGTGGGGCGTTTTTCTTCTTCTTCTGTTTTATTTGATATAGTTGATAAAGTTTTCGTTTGCTTTTAATAGGAATTCGACCAATTTACAAAGTGACTAATAAACGTTGAGGACGTGCAACATTCTAAGAGGAAACATTTAGAAGAGGCACATATTTTTTTCAATTTTGAGCAAATAAATAGTAGAATTAGTTAATTTTTGAAATTCAGCGATCTCTTTGTTAGTTAGTTTCTGCATTAAGTTTGGCACTGGCTTTTAGTTTTTGATTTTGTTTTATTTTATTTATTTCTTTTTTTTTTTGTTCGGCAAGCATATTCGATTCAAGCACGCTTGGAGAGCGATTTGAGCTACAGCGAAAGGGGTTGAATCACAATCACAGGATTGTTGTCACTGTCACGGGCATGCCCTCGGCATTTAGGGATTGCTCGGTGGCTATTTGCACCCGATTGGTAAAGCTCTCGACGCTGTTCTCTTTGCTCAGATCGATGGGTGGTATATCCTCGTCGTAGTCCGAGGCCAGCTCCTCCTCGGCGAGGTAGCTGCACTTCGGACGCTCATCCATGTCGAGAGCTTGAAAGTAGTGGGTCTTGGCCTTGCTGCCCGAGTGACTTGCCACATAGATAATACCATCATCCGTGTCCTCAGCGTCCAGCTGATGACCACCATAATTGCCATAGCCCGCCTCGCATTGATACGGATTCGACTTCACGTGCACGTTCCGGCAGCTGCCACCACAATTATGATGGCTCTCAGCTAAACCACCATCGGCGCCATAGCAGTGACCGCGGTGCTGATGCTGCTGATGGTGCTGCGACTGACTCGACGAGTGGGTGTGCGAGTGCGTGTGCACCTGTTGGCCCACGCCAGCGGCTGCGCTGCTGGAGTGAGCCACTGACTGCTATATGTGCGACTGAGAGCGAGCTATGGACAGCGAGTAGGGACTCGTGTCCTTATGCAATCGCATCGTATCGTAGATGGGAAACTCGCAACAGAGTATGAACTTCAGGGCCCCAGGCACCTCCTCATAAATGGCCGGCGGCACAGGTATTAGTGGCGACGTGGTTGCCTTGTATTTGCGGTAATCCACCTGGCTGTAAGTTGGAAAATGATTTAAGTAATGGTTGGCTAACACAAGAGTGATTTATAGTAGTGCACTTACTTTTTGTACTTCTCATCTGCACTGCGTTCACGCAGCGGTATGCCGGACAAGAAGAGAATAATCAGGGTGGTAAAGATGGGCGATGCTATGGCCACCCACTCATGGCCAGTGATCACGTTTAGGGAGATGACAAAGATGCCCCACCAGACAATCACCTCGCCAAAGTAATTCGGATGCCGCGACAGACCCCAAAGACCTACGATGACAGCTATATGCATGGAGCAGCTAGTTGATTTCCCGCATGCACTTACCATCATTGCAAAACTTGCCATGGTTAGCCGGATCCTGGCGAAAGGAGAACTTCTGCAGGTCCGCATACGTCTCGGCCAGCAGGCCGACAATAAACATGCCCGTGCCCGTGGAATCCAATGTGGTCATGCCTTTAACAGCCTGTGGCTGGGTGTGACGCGAATTGATTATTATGACCGGCAGCGAGACGACAAACACCCAAATGGCCTGCAGGCGTAGAAAAAGGAATGAAAAAAGTGCAATCAAGTGAAAAGGTAATAACAGTTTGGCTGCAGTCTCGGTGGCATCGCTCTAAGCAATATAGACAATATACTTATATCAGTATAGACTATCCCATCCACTCGGTTATTAAATCATGCAGGCGCATTAAGAGCACAGTTATGTTCGGTAAACGGCTAAATTGACAGCACTGCTGAGCAGAGCCAACAAGTGCTGGCAATCAAATCGTTGCGACACGCCACAAATGTGGAAGGACAGCCACAGCCACAGCCCCAACCACAGCCACACACACTCCCACACAGAGATACAGATATACATTTAGTGAGAGACCGAGTGGCACTTGCATTTGCATAGCCCAGCGTCAACGACAAGCCATTGAAATATTAATAAAAACATCATGGGAAATTGGCATGCGCTGGCAGATTCATTGATTACCAACAGCTACAGTGGTCCATGGTCCACGGTCCATGGCTCATGGTTCAGTCTGTCACTCGTATCGCTAGCACTTTTAATATTCATTTCATTTGCATGGCAACTCACCTGAAAGGTCCAGAAGATAGCATAGCGTATGATATTGCGTCGCGTATCCTCAAATTGTTTGTCGCGGCCCAGTTTGATGATGCGATACAGCAAATAGCCAGAGAGTCTAGCGCCCCACAGGCAGACGAAGACAGTTACCATAAGCTGACGACTCTCATATGCCTAGGCAGCAGGAATGGGATACAAATTTATTGTTATTGCTAAGGTAAATATACAAAATATATAATATATAATAATAAATATGTATAACACTTTATTGAAGAGTAAAGTCAAACAGCTGGTCTAAAGAGACCTCAATTAACTTTGTTGCCTTAAGTCAACATTTTGCATTGCATCACAAAAATCACACAGAATGGCGAAACATATTTAAAATGCAAAAGAAAAACTTTTAGTTGCGCTCGCCTTCGTGTCCTTTGCAATGCTGAAGCACAGAACTCCCCCATGAATTTATCGCCCAGCTGTTTCCTGCAAAATTGAATTGGTTTTCTAAAGTTGTTATTTTTGCTAGCTTTGCTTGGTAAAAAATTGCAATGCAATTCCCGGTTAACCGCATGCAATTCAGTATATTTTTGGTTTTTATTTCTCCTATTATTTGTTTATTTATTTATTTTTTCGCCCGTTTGTGCCTCCAAATGGTTTTTTATTTATATTTTCATTTACGACTAAGCCACCGCAGCAATGGTCATCCATTGCGAAGTGCCGCATCGCTGACCCGGGCGCTGGCTGTGCACAGCTTTTATGCCGTGATAAATGTGCGCCGGTCCCAGAGGTATCAACGCAATTCATTTATTTATTGTGGCACGATTGGCAGCTGGCGTATGCAATAAATCAGAGTGCTTATAAAAACTGCAAAAGGATTCCAAGAGGCGAACGTAAATTCGCATTCAAGTGTGAACAGAGTCAGGTCAATATGATGAAGAAAGAGCTCACTTAAATAGATGCTGGCAAGCGTGGCGCCGCGTTTGCTCTGCACTTGAACTTGTTTAACAGCTTTAAAATGCACAATTGCAAACAGTTCAGCAGACGGGACGACAAACAACTTGGCCGAAGGACCATGGCCGCAGTTGCCTGCACCAGACAAGGTCAAACTAACAACAATAACAACAGCAGCAACAGCAGAGGCACAGAGTGTGGGCCTGTTGGGCGTTTACCTATTGTTACCACAAATGCAACTACAGATGCTCCCTGCGCACACACACACACACTCACAGACTCGTATCGTATAATGCTGTGTGTGTGTGCAGGAGCGTGTGCATGTCGCTTTTCAATGTCAGCTACTAAATACCGACAAATCCCAAACACACACAAAAAAAAGAACAAGCTTTAAACCATTTAATTTGTAGCTCAGCTTAACAGCCAGTTTTACACTCACCTTGGAGGGACGATCCAATTGGCCTATGAAAAAGGTCAGCAATGCTATGACAATGAAATTAACGCCGCCAGCAAAGTCCGAGAGTTTATCCAAGTGTAACAAAGCATTCAATAGGAAGAATATTAGCTGCATTGTGGTTATCACAATCGCGCTAATGGCAAAGTGATTCAGACCCCAAATATTGATGGCCATTTTCACGGACTTGGCCTCAGCACGATTTCGATTCGATTGGGGTTTCTGCTTCTAATTGCTACAGCTTCCTGTTCATTCTCTTCCTCCTCTGTTCCGGTTCATTTTGTGTTTGTTTGTGTGCGTGTGTTTTTTTTTTTTTTTTTTTTTTTTGCTTACATTTCGTTTTTGGGGCAATTGGCACTTTGCCAGGCTGTCAGCACTTTACCTATAATTGCAATTTATTGATTGCGTCTGTTTGATTTTTTATTTATTTTTTATCAGGTAGATCAGAATAAACCAGCTGATGATCGTGTATTTAAATGGTTGTAAATGAAATGTAAAGTGGAGTTCAATATTTATTATATATTTTTAAAATTATTTTACTTAATTTTTCTTCTATTAATAAACAAATTTATCATATATGTATATTTTATTAATAAATTATGCACATATATAAAAAGATGATGATTTTGTTATGAATATTTTCTTATATATAATTTATTTTTTTAAGCCCTCAACTGTCCAGACTCTTTTTGCACAATTGTAAATTAAACTCATCTCAGCCGGATAATAATTATACGCGTCCCTGCACACATTCTGTAATTAATCTCTACAGACGCAGCCTTTGGCCTCTGAAAGCCTTGTATATGCGTACGCATGTAAGTGCAAGGATATATGCACATTAATTAAAACAAGACCCGCGGCCTTAGACATGAATATCTTAAAGAGAAATGCAGCTGCACACACACAGGGACACCTGTGCGACTAGGCGTTTGTAATTTGCAGCCGCAAGACATTGACAAAGTGTCAGAGCAGCATCGCTTATATCCTTTGTCAAATAGTTTCTGCAACTTTGGCACGCTGAAGTAGACTTTTGCATATTTAGCATGCAAGCCGCTGTCACCTCTCGGAAATGTATGCGAAAGTTAATGAAATACTTGTTTAACAGCTGCTTACTAGAAAAACTTTACGAATTTTAATATATTTATATATATAGGTGTATATGGAATAGTTCAAATAGCTAGATCTTATTCTGCTCCGTGTAACGGTCACGCACTTAAGCCAATACAATTTACGAAATTGAATTTGTGCAGGTCCACGCAACGTGCCAGTTCGCTAAGGCTATTTATAGCTCTTGTTGTTTCTATTTGAGTAAGGGCTGTTTCAAGTTTACTTTTGAGTTGGCTTCAATTGCAGGGCAAACAAACAAATGGTTGAAGTTTCGGGCACACACTTCGTATACTTAACAAGTGTAAATAGTGTAACAGAAGCCATGCTAGAGATGACTAGCCGTAGAGAGTGTAGCCTAGACTAGTAGCCGCATTTGCCGCAGCAATGAATTCGATATTAGAATACAGCTCAAACACCTACGCATATTCATAAAGGATGCTGCCGCTCGGCGCTTGCACAAGTGAAAGTAAGTTTCTTACATATTTCTTTTTGAAGGTCTTTACACACAAACACACACACAAACAGACACATACACCTACAAGCTCAAAAGCACATGCACACGCACACGTGCGTAGGACTCGCGCGTCAAATCTCCTTTGATACCCATCAACATCAGACACTTTATTTCAGTTTCCGTTTTCGCTCTAGCAACAAGGCAACCAGCTTAATTCTGCACTAATTACATTTTTATTGTTTACAAGTTTTAATTAAAAAAAGTTTTTGTAGCGTAAAGTAACTAACACGAAAAGCTGCGTGGCCGCATGAAATGCGTGCAAGCGACTGTTGCCACGAAATGCTGCGGATAAACTGAAGGAAAAAGTAGCTAGAAAACAAGCTAGAATGAAATTTCTGAGGTAATGCCATGCGCAGCAGCATGCAGTAGAGGTCTCTTAGCACAAATTGTGACGACAAACTCGAAAAATTTAAAATTCGCGCCAAAACAAAAGTTATTACCAAACTAATAAACTGACATATCTATTTAAAAAATATATAATTTTTCTTTTTTTTTTACCTTACCGCCTAAAGATATGCTGCGAAAATGAACCAATGTGGCAACGCTAGCTTTGCCTCACTCGACTTATCGACATTATCAAATACGTGTATCGCAACATTTAACTTGAAGCAGCATGTTGATAATAAATTGAACACCGTGAAGTTGGCTGTGGCCACTCACCTAAAAAAAGAAATAAAAGTTATAGATTAATATAATTAAGTGCAACATTATAGGCTGGCTCCTGCATCGGAGTTGCACTCGTTGCGTAATTACGCACGCTTGTGGGTGGTGTGCTAGGTTGGGACTGTAACATAAAAATGGCATTGGCATTGCGGGTGTTATGCTTAGCCCACAGCAGTGGCAGTTTGGGAAGGTGGCCACAAGAGCGCCGCCGATTGCTACGATTATGTTGCAGGTCTAGGCTGCAAAGCGGGTGAGTGTAATTACATGATTAGCCCGATTGACGACCGGCATTAAAAACCCATTTAAAACATCATTATCAGGCAGACAACGAATTACAGTACACAAGAGCAGGAATCAACGTCGACGGCAACGAAAGCTCCGCCGCAAATTAAGCGAAATGTTGCGTCCGAGATAACAAGTGTTGGAAAGGTCATTTATGAGGCTAGCTGGGATGCCAAGAATTCCAAAAATCTAGGTTCGCAAGTAAAAACTGGCACAACCGGCGAAATAGTAGTTAGAACTGCAACTACTCCGAGCAGCGGGACACCGAAAGAGAACCAAAATAAAGATAAGGACGACGAGAAGGACAAAGAGCAGGAGCAGCCCAAGTCAAAGCGCGAACAGATGCGCGACAATGTGCAGGAATATATCTTCACGCGTTACTTTAACTATGTAAAAAATTATGACAAAGTTCTGGAGAAGAATTTTCCGAAGGCTATGCAGCTCTATAGAGTGTTCTTCGAGGGAGTTAAGGACTTCTTTGCAGACATGAAGCGTTTCTTGAAGATTTCGCGCATTGCCAACCATGCGCCGCAGGGCATACGGGCACTGAATCGTCAAGAACTCGAGCTGTATATGCAAATGCCGCGGGATATGATGAAAGTAGCGCCTGCCTTAATTGGCTGCTCCTTGCCAATGGTAGGCTATGCCTTCTTTCCGCTTGTGTAAGTGTATTGATACACAGAACATTTCAAAAACTAATTGTGCATAATCTCATGCAGCTTTTGGTACCCACGCATTTTCCTAACACCGCACTTCTGGACGGAACCGCAGCGTATCGAGTTCCAGAAATACTATACGAAACGCCGGCTTCAGTGCAACAAATCGGTGCTCCGTTGCCTCCAGGCCAAACTCAAGCAGGTTGAGGGTCACCACAAGTATGCAGAGTTCGAGGCGATTCTGGGTCAACTTGGCAGCGGCACACATCCTACACCGGAGGCGCTCATCTCAGTCAAAGACATTTTCGCCGAGGGACCCTACTCTCTGTTGGGCATGTCGCGAAAACACGTCGTAAACACAAATGCTTCCCACTCAATATCTTGGTTTTGTTTAAGCTGAAGATTGTTTTGCTTGCAGAAATGTCTAGTCAAGATGCATGGCCTACCTAACAGCCTATTCAAGCGTCACCGGCTGCACGAGCACGCCTTCTTGGTGCACTTTATGGACATGGCTATTACACGTGAGGGTGGCGTTCACAATCTGAGCTTGGCTTCATTGCGGTACTCCTGCTGTCTGCGGGGCCTAAATCCGGATGGTCTGAGCGCGGAGGAGATGATTGACTGGCTACGCAAGTGGGTGAAAGTATCCACGTCGATACAAGGCGAACATATCACTCTCTTTCTGCATCTGCCTGTCCTGCTGGGCTACAACCATCCCAACAACTGGAAAACCATCTATTGTAATAAGACTCCATAGTGAACTGGTGCTAGTTGCTCAAAAATTGTTTTTTGTTTTACAAAAGCAAATAAAACTGTTATATAAAATCTAGATATACTGCTTCGATGTAGGATTAGATTAAACAAGGGGTCTTCGTGTTTTTCCTAAAAATAACACTTCTTTTATTCGCTCCTTTGATTTGGATGTTCATCAAGCAGTTACTTTCATTAAATTTATTTTCCATTTTATTTCTTGGCCTTGGGCTTGGCCTTCTCGGCGCGCAGACGTTCACGACGATCCTTCTTCAGGATGCGTGGTGTACCATCGGACTTGGTGCGCTTCTTCAATGTGTTGAAGGCGATGGTCAGCAACTTGTTGCGCTGACGCTTGGCATAGCGCAGCTTGAAACGGTCAAAGTCGTTCAATTGCGAGCGCTGCAATAGAATAAATCCAGAATTAGTAATCAGAAACATAAGCAACTTGTAGAGTTAATTAATTTTAAGCTGTTTTCAGTTTAAAACAAAAGCTAGCTTCATGTATGTATCAGCCGGCAATTCCTATCAAGAACTTTCAATTATCATCATGTGCAGCACACAAATAATGAATGTTCAGCTCTCAATTTTCCTCACCTTGCAGATGTTTTGTGCCTTAACGGACCAGGCGCTGGTTTTCCATTGTGCCTTCAGGTCGCTGTCCACCCAGGCTTTGCGCACAATGCTTGTGGGCGCGGTGTATGGGAACTTGATACGGTACTTGGTCAGATGCAGATTGTTCAATCTGTATTCCTGACGTGGAACACCAGTCAGAGGTCCATCAACCAAAACCTGTAAGAAGTATATAAATTAGTTTAACGGCAATACAATTATGGAGCAGCAACACTTGTGGGTATATCGCAGTTGGCTGTTGGCAGACAGTTTTTGCTTTCAGTTAAGTAACTTAGCTTCATTTATGTGTCAGTTGGCACTTCCTATCAAGAAGACAAATTATCATCATGTGCGAACGACTGCTGCCTCGAGCGAACACACATTTATTGTTGCTGCTATTCCTGCACTGGTCACTTACTCTGTTTTGATCAATGACGTCGACAATGGCGACCAGGCGACCCTTCAGGGGACCTGCGGAGGCCTTGGCGATGCGACCAGTTTGTACGAATCTCTCGAAAGGCTGCAAGCACACAATATAAAAAACTCATCAATAAAAATTATTTTCACATTGCAGGGTGTAAGTATGGACTGCGCGTTGGCTGCTAACTAAACCGTTCTGGTCACCACGTGAAATATTTTCATTGCACTTTATACAATCACAAAATCGATTGTTTGGCGATTTTTCGTTAGCAGCAACTCAACACAGTTTTCGCGAGAATTTCTTAATTCAGTAAGCGCACTTTAAACCTTTTTATTTTCACATTTTAAATCCAAATGAGGAAAATACTTTGTTGGATCTTACCATGACGCTAACCGGAAAGAAAGAGAAGGAACGTAACAATTTTGACAGCTCGGCATCAACATGGCGAAATGTGTGCACCAATACAGGGTTGCAATTTGAGTGTGTGTTACAGCACTGTTGTCAATATTACCAGTTTTAAATGAGTTGATTGCAGATGTATTACAAACTTTTGGGCTTTAAATTACTTGAAAATATACAAAATATTTGTATTATTTTGGTTTTAATAAACATATTAATAATTCTGTTATTTATTTATCATAATATCGCAAAAGAAAAATAAGTATTTTAAGCAATCTGGCAGCACTAATATGATGCCAGAAGTATCTATTAATTCACATTTGGCATGATCTGGCACTTTCAGAAATAGTGTTTATACTTTTGTGTGCTATTAGCATATTGTTGTTAAAGAGAAATAAAAGAATTGAAAAACACTAAAATATATATAAAAAATACTAAAATGGTTTATATACACTTTCCAAATAATCTAACAGAGGAAGAGCTGATGCTCCAAGCCAAATATCAAAAACTGAAGAAAAAGGTAAACACTGGCCAAGTGGCGTCTTGAAGTGAATTCCTTATATGCATTACTTATTATTACAGAAAAAAGCTTTACAAGCTCACAAAGCCCCCAAGCAGGAGCCAGAGAGCGCTCTTACATTGAAACGACCTACAGATGCGCGCGATGCGAGGGAAGTGGCTCGTAAGCTGATTAAAAGCGGCGCCATTCCCGCTATACAAAAGCAGCAAACAAAGCAGGACCAAACCTCATTTAAGCGGCCAAAGGGCCAGGAGCGTGCCAAACGTTCCACCTCAGAGACGACCGTGGCTGCGTATCAACCTTTCTCATCGACACAGAACGATGTTGCACAGGAGACCATTATCAGTGAAATTATAAAAGAGGAGCCACGCCGTCAGAATTTGTACCAACACTTTGCCACGGAGCGCGACCGTGAGGAACGTGGGCTGACAGAGAAAGTGACGCTAGATGCTACGCAGCCAGAGAAGCCACGCGCTGGCAACACGATATTCGTCTCGGGCAACAAAGTTACTGAAGAGTTTCTTAAGAAAACGTTCAACGATTATGGCACTATAGTCAATGTCTCTATGGAGATTGAGAAGAGGTGTGTGCCAAATTGTTTATAATGGTAAACTCATATCTATTAATAATCTATGTGATTTGCAGTCGCGGTTTTGTTTCGTTTGCTAAGCCGGAATCCGCAGACCGAGCCATAGCCGAAATGCACGGCAAGAACGTGAATGGAATTGTCTTGCAGGTGCAACTGGCTCGCCGGCAGCCACAAATTGAGCCCATCAATGATGCTTCATCTTCAGCAGTTTGGTCTTCTATAGGTAAGCGGCTTCAGTTTGAGTTATGCAAGTGTCGTTTTATAATTTCCTCTTTCGCTTGCAGCTGCCAGCAAATCGCAAAAGGGAAGTCACAAGGATTTGCGACAAATGGTGCAATATGATGATGATTTCCTAAAGTAAAGGATTTAGCCCAGTTTGCATATTTAATTTGTATCATAATTTTTTGTTTATTTCAATTCACACATTTGGTAAGTCAGTAAGTTCATAACTCTTCTCTATATAGTTTCTTGCTTTATTGAAAATACGTTTCTCTATAAGTTTATATAAAGAACTTACATATTTTTTTCCTCACGCGGTTCAAATCAATTGCTTCTTTGTAAATAAAAGAAAAACATGCATATATAATGAATTCATGAGAAGTAAAACAAAATTCATCATTTATATGTGTATTATACCTAACTCAGGTCTAAATAAAATTTATATATTTAAAATAAAATGTAAAAAAACAACAATCGATTCTTGAAGTATTGAACAATTCGAAAAATAGAAAAAAATGAGTGAACAATATTTAGATATTATTAAGTTGACTTCGTCTGTTCGCCAACAAACTTGAGCCCCATTCTGGATAGCTCACCATATATCAGGTAGCTAATAAATGATTTCTATTACTTAGTTTAAGTACATATTTAATACATGATCTTTAGTTATTGTTGTTGTTGCTGTTGCTGTTGTTGTTTTGGGAGTATTGTAGAAAAACATGATATTGTTCTTGTATTTCGGTTAATATGAGATATATGTTCTGTATAAGTCAGTGTGTTTGTTACTGAACTGGGATTGATTGACTGATTGACTGATTGTTGTTGTTCGATTGATTAGTTGTTAAGCTGCGACTAGAGTAGCACAGGCATCGCCTCTCACTCTGCATCCTTCCTAAAGTATTTATTTTGTTAGTATGTAGTATATATCATTAATGTTAAGGCCTTTGGTTTCGAGCGTTCGGCTTGTGCCCGACGCTTTCTAAATTCGTTTCATGCTCCAAAATGCAAAGAAAAATTGCCCAAGTATCGTTTGGCATACAAAATATCCAAGCCACAAAATGTCCAAAATCTGGGGAGCTCTTTAGGTTTCACGTTTGCCTGCCCTCGTTGCTCGGCGGATTGAAGTAGTCCCAATGGTGTGTGTGCACCTGGCGGCCCGTCAGCAGAAAGACGATTACAGCAAAGGTGATTAATATGAAGAGCACCATCAGCGAGGATATATTTCTGGGCTGCTGCACCGGCTCAACCTCTCCGCGAACAAAGTGGGTCAGGTGGTTGATTATGTTAATCAGCTCTAGGCTGCAAACGGAAAGGAACTGTCGACCGGCCTGCGCCACTGTCTTCGGCTGATCGTCATCGAAATCCTCCATTGCCTGTGTGGCGCTGCGCGTGCGCGAGCGACGGGAACGCGAACGAGAACGCGCCCTCTCGAGTTGTTCCTCCAGCTCAGAGTCGGAGTCGAGTTCCTGTTGCTGCTCGTGCACATGGCGACGTCGGCATTTGTGCGGCGCCTTGCGCTCCGTGCTGCCAGGAGCAGCAGCTGCTCCTGCCTGCTCCGCTTCAGCACTGCGCTGCAAGTTGTAGAAGGCCAATGGAGCTAGGGATTGCAAGTACTCGACACTGGGATACACAGCTGGCGGTGGTGGCAAGGGAAGCATGGCGGCTTCCGTTTGAGTCTGCTCGTCCAGGTTGCTCTGGGTGGCTGCAGGCGTTGACTCATTGATCTTGCCTTGGCGTGGCGGCTTGGTGGGTGGCTCCACATCGCTAGTGGCGGGTTCACTGCTGGCTTGGCGGCTCGTCTGTGTTTCGCTGGTCAGCAACGACGGACGCTGCTCCCTGACGCGTTCCACAATGTCGTCTATGAAACCTGGTGGCAGATTAATGTTCTGCACCACCAGCTGACCCGATTTGCAGCCCAGCTCATCAGCTGTGACTTGGCCGCCGTGCAGCTGTGACACCTGAATCTGTCCAGCCTGCAGCGCATGCACTCGCAGTCGCTCCACCTCCAGCTCCTGGATGTGGGTGGGCAGCTGCAGCGGTGGCGAGGCTCGCAGCGCCTGAATCGGCGTTAGCTCACGGCTCACCTGCTCGGCAATGGTCAATATTGAAGTAGCAGTCGGCTCGACGAATGTGGTGGATTTACGACGTGGCGGCGGCAAGGGCGTTGCCTCTGGCTCCGTTTCTGTTGCTTCCGCGGGCGGCTCTTGGCTGTAGGCCGTAGCAGGTTCGGTGGGTAAAGAGGCTACGGATTTGGCATCGACTTCAGCTTCAGTGGGCTCATGTGCAATGGTCTTCCTAATGGGTGCTTCTTCCACT